AAAATAATTCTAGCTATTCGGTTCTTGATGCTATGAGTTTTCCAAGTTCTATTTCAATTCCAATGTTTGGGAGTGGCCATGTCAGAGGAAATGCCATTTTGAAGGAGGAGGTTTGGGATATAATTAAGGGGTACGATGGTAATAAAGCCCCAAGCTCTGATGGTTTTAATTTGGAGTTCTTTAAGAACCAGTGGGAGGTGGTGAAGGGCGAGGTTATTAAGTTTATGGAGGAGTTTCGCTGTAATGCTAAATTGCGTAAAGGAGTGAATGTTTCTTTCATCACACTTATTCCAAGTGTGCAAATCTTTAAGAGATTAATGAGTATAGACCGATTAGCTTGGTTGAGAATTTGTTCAAAATTGCAGCAATACTCTTGACAAACCGAATAAAAATAACACAACTTTATTGATGCTTTCAACAACTTTACTGATGGCTGCGAACTAACTGATCTGCCTTTGATGGGTAAGAAATTTCCTTAGTTTGGCCTACAAGCAAAACACAACCGTATTAATCGCTTCTTTCTATCTTCTGAATGGCTTCTCCAATATCATAATCTATGCTAGCAAGGTTTTAAAAGATCATTATTTGATCATTACCCTCTTTTGCTTTCATCTAATTCATCTGATTAAATTAGGGTCCGCGCCCTTTTAGATTACTCAACTGCTAGCTATCCGCAAATGTCTTCCTTGATGCTGTTGTGCAAAAATGGACATTGACAGTAATTCACATGAGTGCAGGCTACTGTCGTAAAGTTAAAATGTTCAAACGCAACGCACATCTCAAACAAAGGAACTGGTCCTCTTTTGGAAATATTGATGCCTCCATTGCTAATTTAGAAAATGACATCGAGGGATATGACCGAATTGGGAATACCAGAGATCTTTTTATGGAAGAATGCCTACCAAAAAAGCTGCCACCTGTAATATTTGAACTACCCACATACACAAAAAATCCATTTGGTGCCAAAAATCTTGTATCCGATGGGTGAGAAAAGGCAACAAGAATACCAACTTTTTTCAATGCAAAGCCAAAGCTCACTCTCATTGGAACTTCTTGGCGAGTGTGTTTGTTCACGGCTCTTGAATTTCAGAACCAAGAGAGGTTGGTCTCGCTTCTTTTAACTATTTTAAGAACCTTTCCCAGTGTGATTTTTGGGCTCGTCCTGATGTTTAGGGGCTCTATTTCAAGAAACTTAGTGCAGAGGATGCTTCCTTTCTTAAAATGTCGATCACTATGGAGAATTAAAGGCAACAATGTGGGGCTGTGATGGTTCGAAGGTGCTTGAACTAGATGGCTTTAACTTAACTTCTATAAGCACTCTTAGCATTTAGTGAAAGATGACATCTTCACTCTTGCGTCTGAATTCATGTCAGCCAGTAAACTTGAAAAAGTTATCAACCCCTCATTTATTGCTTTCAGTCCGAAAGCCAATAATCTTATAACCTTTAAGGAATATCAGCTAATTAGCCTCATCAATTCTATGTACCAGATTCTTACTAAGCTTTTTGCCAGCCATCTCAAAAAAGAGATTCATACGGTAATTAATGACATTCAATCAGTTTTTATTAGTGGCTGACAAATCATTGATAACATTATGCTAGCTAATGAAGTCATCCATAGCA